GCGCTTCCCCTGCTTATTTTGCAGATATGCCTTGTTCTTGTTGTCTCTAGGGGACTGGCATATATTCTACAACCTTTAAGGCAGCCGAGGGTTATTGCAGAGATTATTGTAAGTTCATTTCTTTTCTTTAAATTTTAATCAATCTATATTGTGAGTTCATATATTCCTGCTTCATAATATGAATAAATAACCAATAGGGATTGATACCTCTGGTTGACTTTTTCACTCATACCCTATTATCAGAATTTTCCTGTTGGTAGACGATATACAAATTTCATTATAAATCTTCACTAAGATTGGTGGTCTTCCTTGACCTTGTAAAGGGGCATGACTTCTCATTATTTATTTTTTCAATATAAATAAATATTAATTGTTTGTATTGGTAAGATCTTTTTTTTTTTTTTTATATATAATTTTTTTTTTATAATTTTCCTTTAATGGTTACAAGGTGGTCCTAGCGAATAGGACTAAATATGAGCAATATGACTCGCTAGGATTTGAACCTGACATCATTTGCTTCCTAATCAAGTTGGATGCTACTAAGTTATGAGGCAATTGGGATATGACAAGAGCTTTTTGTGTTCCATTTTTTACATAATTTCATAGTCTCCAGACTTTTCTGTGTTTCATTATTCTAAATGAGTCTCATTCATGTGAAATTTACCGTGTAGAATGCAATATGATTTTAAACAATTCATTAGTCAGGATAGATGTTAGAGAAATAGACATGCCAAAATATGTACAATCAATGATTTTGATATGTGTATGACTGCTATTGATAGGGAGGAATAATTCTTGGGCCGTCAGCGCTTGGACGGAATAAAAGCTATATGAATGCAGTTTTCCCACCCAGGAGTCTTACAGTATTAGATACTCTAGCAAACATTGGCCTTATATTCTTTCTATTCTTAGCAGGCCTGGAGATAGATCCTAAATCTATTCGTCAAACTGGAAAGCGAGTCCTTGCTATTGCTTTGGCTGGAATAAGCCTACCCTTTGTAATAGGAATTGGTTCATCATATGTTCTAAAACAAACAATCGCCAAAGGTTCAGACAGTATTGCATTCCTCGTATTTATGGGTGTTGCTCTGTCCATAACTGCATTTCCTGTGTTGGCCCGAATTTTAGCCGAGTTGAAACTTCTAACCACAAATGTTGGCAGAACAGCGATGTCAGCTGCAGCAATTAATGATATAGCTGCCTGGATTCTGCTTGCTCTCGCTGTTGCCTTGTCAGGCCATGACCGATCTCCAATTGTGTCATTGTGGGTCTTCTTAGCTGGCTGTGGTTTTGTCATTTGTGCAATCCTCATTGTTCCTCCAACTTTCAAATGGATGAGCCAACGATGCCATGAAGGCGAACCAGTTGAAGAGGTATACATATGTGCTACATTAGCTGCTGTTCTGGCTGCTGGCTTTGTCACAGATGCTATTGGAATCCATGCCATGTTTGGTGCATTTGTTGTCGGAATTTTGGTCCCAAAAGATGGACCATTTGCCGGTGCTCTTGTGGAGAAAGTAGAGGATCTTGTGTCTGGTCTATTTCTCCCGCTCTATTTTGTGTCAAGTGGATTGAAGACTAATATAGCCACCATCAAGGGGCTGCAATCATGGGGTCTTCTGGTTTTTGTTATCTTTACAGCTTCTTTTGGCAAGATTATTGGGACTCTGGCTGTTTCTCTTTTCTGTAAAGTACCTTTTAATGAGGCTTTGGTGTTGGGGTTCTTGATGAATTGTAAAGGTTTGGTTGAATTAATAGTCCTCAACATCGGTAAAGATAGAAAGGTATTTGAATTTTCTTGCTATCACTGTTCTCTATAATCAGTTTAACAAGATGCATTTTCCTATCTATTACCAAGATGAATATTTAATATATGCATTTGCAGGTTTTGAATGATCAGACCTTCGCTATTATGGTTCTGATGGCTGTCTTTACTACCTTCATCACCACTCCCCTTGTGACTGCTGTGTATAAGCCTGCAAGGAAGGGAAGACTATCTGATTACAAATATAGAACTATTGCAAGGAAAAATGCTAATAGCCAACTGAGGGTTTTTGCCTGCTTCCATGGTTCAAGAAATATTCCATCAATGATAAATTTGATTGAGGCTACAAGAGGAATCCAGAAGCGTGATGCACTTTGTGTGTATGCAATGCACCTTAAAGAATTTTCTGAGAGGTCCTCATCCATATTAATGGTACATAAGGCCAGAAGAAATGGGTTACCATTCTGGAATAAAGGCCGGCATGCAGATTCCAACCATGTCATTGTGGCATTTGAGGCTTACAGGCAACTAAGCCAAGTGTCTATCCGGCCAATGATCGCAATCTCATCCATGACTAACATACACGAAGACATTTGTGCAACTGCTGAGAGGAAGCATGCCGCAGTCATTATTCTCCCATTTCATAAGCATCAAAGCTTGGATGGTTCACTAAATGTTACTAGAAATGATTTTCGCTGGGTTAACAAAAGGGTACTCGAGCATGCACCGTGCTCAGTTGGAATTTTTGTTGATCGTGGTCTTGGTGGTACAGCCCATGTCTCTGCAAGTAATGTTTCTTATCGTGTTACAGTGCTTTTCTTTGGTGGTGGTGATGACCGTGAAGCCCTTGCTTATGGAGGTCGTATGGCAGAGCACCCTGGCATTAGATTGGTTGTTATCCGCTTTATAGCGGAACCAATAAAGGAAGGAGAGATTCTAAGAGTTGATGTGGGTGACTCCTCTAGCACCAAATTAATCTCACAGGATGAGGAATTCCTCGATGATTTTAAGGTGAAAATAGCCAATGATGACTCCATCATTTATGAAGAGAGAATAGTAAAAAATGCTGCAGAAACAGTTGCTATTATCCGTGAGTTTAATAGCTGCAATCTGTTTATTGTGGGTTCAAGGCCAGCTGGTGAAGTTGCCTGTGCTCTGAAGAGCAATGAACTCCCTGAGCTAGGACCTGTTGGTGATTTGTTAGTATCACAGGATTACCCAACAACAGCATCCGTTTTGGTGATGCAACAGTATCACAATGGGGCATCAACTAATTTTAGCCCAGAAGTGGAGGAACACTTACCTGATGACTCAGAATCTGCTTCTTAATAGCTCTCCTCTAATTTTGTTTGGGCCTTTTCTAAACTCCATACAGCCTAGCTTCATACTTTGTAGTTCAAAATTTTAATTTCCTTTGAATCGGAATTGCTTTAGAATTATAAATTTTATGATAGGACTTCAGGTTGTGCAAAGATCTTTAGTGTAAATTTGGATTCTAACTTCAATTCCAATTCCAATTCCAATATTTAGTGAAAACTTTATAATTTACAAAATAAAATTATAATACGAAGGTATATCCTTATTTGGTCTTTACATTATTTTTAAGATTCTTTTTACTCTGCTATTGCACACCTTACCATTCAAGTTCGTAATATTGATGAGTTTTGTAAGTAGATCTTATAATTAAAAATAGATAATCGCAATGTATTTTTTAATCAATTTATTTAAAAATATATTTTAAGAGGAGGATTTAGGTTAAACCATTAATAACTTAAAATGAGATTTGGTGTTGCTAATTCAGCCGACGAATATGAACTACAACAATTTTTCTTTATTGTCATGTATCAAATATTGCAAAAATTTTATATTGATAAATTGACAATTAAACATTTTCATGAGGGAAAAAAATATATATAGACCGTTGTCTACCTTGATCAAGATTGTTTATGGGATGGGTGGAAATGAATTTATCTTTCTTCTTATATTTAATTAATTAAAATCTAGATTTTTTTTATTTGAATCCGATTCCGATGGGATGGTCCCTAGTTTCTTGTAGTGCCTCTAATCATTTCGCTAGTTGTAGGCATAAAGCTAACCAAAACAATTAAGCTCTTTAATTTGCTTCAAGACTTGTATATAAATTAACTTAACGTGTGTTGAGCTGGAAAGTCTTTAATTATTTGTCACTTCTCGTCATTACCAGTTGCTTTATGTGTGTAGTTTGCGGCCTATAAATTTCAACATTAAAGTCCAATATCTTGCGTTAACATAAGTATATAACTATTAATGGCGACATTAAGACTCATTATATCTTTCTTTCTTTTTTTCTTGTTTGTGATCTCGGTCGGATCCTTCACGGCTTCGACCACCAATTGGAGGAAAAAGGTTCACGAGCTATGCAATAGGTTGGTTTTTTTTTTTACTTTCATCATGACATTGACATCATATACAATGCTTCGTGTTTAATGACAACGCGCTTAAGAATTTTACATGTGTGACAAGGACATTTTTACTGCATGGATTCGTTTTTCCATTGTGTTCAATTCTAGCCGGCATAAACTTTGTTGGCGCTGATCCTTTGATTCAGCATAAACATTATGATTATTACCATACCTTTTAATTTGGTAGTGGTAAAGTTTGTCGTGAGATATAAAAGATTAATTTAATATTCTTAAATTTAATTATTAATTATATTAAAGTAATATTTAATTATTGAAAATTATATTCTATGAACGTAAATTAATTCTTAATTGTTAACTTAAAAATATTATATAAATCATATATATAGAGGTTATAATAACACATATTCATAATCCCCTAATCATAAGGATTGTGGAATATTGGACAGTTTTAGTGACAAGAATTAAAACCCATGAAATAATAACATATAGTATTTGTTTATACATGAAGATATAACAAATGTTTTATCAAATTTCACACACTATAAATGAATAAATTATAAAAATATATTAATAAAATGAAGAAATTAATTACATATTTTTTTAATTTAGAGACTTAATTAATAATTTTTGAAAGATTCAAAATTAAATAATATATTAAACGATCGTGAAACTAGAAAGAAGAAAAAGTGAATTTAAGGTATATTTTTTCCGCAAACGGGTCGTTGAAAATGGGCCTAGTGAATGTTGAGAACCGAATGGAAGCCCAAATAAAGGTATAAATACGAAGCTGGGGTCTTGGGTCCAAATCCAATAAAGGGTGGGGAAATTGATGACGGTTAGTTTACAAGAAAAGAGATCAAAAGCAGGGACAGTTGGTTGGTGAATACTGAATGGTGGCGCGGGGCTTATCCAAGGCATTGAGGCAACAAACGCAGAGCGAAGTGGCATAGAAACTAGAAATGCACTCTCACTCCCACACCTTGCTTCGCCCACATTCATTCCCTTCCTTTCCCAAACCATTTCCCTTCTCTTCTTTTCCTCTTCTTCTTCCTCCTTCCACTCTCCGCTCCTCAACTTTCGCCACCACTTCTGCAATTTCCCCTAATGAAACCAAATTCCCTACGCAGCGACTCACTCGTGCTTGCAACAATTCGCGCCAATCCCTTGCTTCCATCTCCAATGGCAAATTTCCCTTTCTTTCTTCTTCTAATGATGCTAGTGCTACTACTAATTTATCCACCAGCCTTCTCAAGTTTTCGTTGCTCTTCGGCTTCCTCACTCTTCAAGACTCTTATCCAGCGCTTGCTGCTTCCGACATTTCCACTTCTTTCAATTCATTTCCTATATTTGGGGATATTGGTGACTTAAGCACAGGTTTTGCTTCAGTTAGGAAAATCTCCCTGTCACTTTTTAATTACATTGCTTACAGATAAAAATTATAAAAAAAAAGAGAAGGAAAACATAATTTGAAATGCCGCAATTCAATACAATCGAGAATGGAACATGTAGCTTTTTCTTTACTCTTTCTTAACTGTTTGCAATTAGTCACAAATGTTATTCTTTTACTGAGCTACTGAAACACTAATATAATTGTGCTTCTTTTATGCTGTGTCACAGGCGTTTCTGCTGATATTTTTCTCTGAACTGGGAGATAAGACATTTTTCATTGCAGTAAGTGCACATAAATTGCCAAGCAAATAATACGATCCCACTGATTTGGGTAGTTGATGTTTTATGCAGGCGCTGCTTGCAGCTAGGAACTCAGCTGGTGTGGTTTTCATTGGGACATTTGGCGCGCTTGCGTATGTTTTATTGTTTCACGGTGATTTAGATATCCTTGCAGTTTATTTTTGTCTAGGTGGCATTTTTTTACGATGATTTTAATTTTTACGTGTGATCAATCGATCAGAAATAATCATAGGTGCCAATTATTTTAAAAGTTCACAAACTTATGATGATCTATGATTAAATGGCAGAATAAAAAATCTTTACACTCTCAATGAATTTTAATTGAACTCTTTATGATTACTGGCCATGCATATAAGGTGATGCAAACAACTAAGGGGGAAATATTTGCACAACCTAAAATAATCAAAATCCTGTAGGGATTTAATGTTAATTAGTAGAATTTAATGGTTTCCTTCGTCTACCTTCTAGAAAGGTGAACAGAATTCTTCCGGCGTATGTTGTGTCCAGAAGTCAAATAACCACGATACATCAGCAATTTTCCACTTTTATAAATGGCAAATATTATGTGATGCATATATCCTCGGTTATACGCTACTCTTCATATCATTAATATTTATTATTTATTTGTTATTGGCAGGGCAATGACTCTGATATCCGTTGCCCTTGGACGAACTTTTCATTATGTTGATGAAATCTTGCCATTCAGGTTTTTTTCTTTATTAACTGTGCTTATAAACCGTTATATGACTCGGTCATACTGAAAGAATAAAAACAGTTCTAATCATTCTTCACAAGTAACAAATTACAATTTCATTTTAAGTTTCATGTTAACCACGAAACAATATGTTGAACATTGTATAGGATACCGATTGAAGATGACTCAATGTTGTTTTTCTACTTGTATGAACCTTTGACCATCCATGAAACAGTTTTATCATAATACAATGTCAAATTTCTTTTAAACACATTTTTATTCATTTGCAAAGCTTGATTACGTTGTGATGCATGCATGTCTTTAGTTTCTTGAAGTTCCCTGTTTTCTTTAAATATCATTACTTTTCTTCTGTGCCTTCCTTTCGGTTTGTGTCTAAAACCATGCAACAATGAAAGCAAAATCTGACTACTAATGACTTTTCAAAAACGTCATCTAATAGGTTGCTTTGCGCAGGTTTGGAGAAACTGATTTACCTATTGATGATATTGCTGCTGTTTGCCTATTGGTAAATATTATCTTCATGTTGACTTAAATGCTAACATGCGAACAGTGTTTTCTATAGCGCACATTATTTACATTTTCTTTTTTTTGATTAATCCTCTCTTAAGTTATACTGAATTGACTTCAGGTGTACTTTGGGGTCTCTACTTTGCTGGATGCCTCATCTAGTGATGGCCAAAAATCAGATGAAGAGCAGAAGGAGGTAATATTTGGTATCTATTTATCTATAGCGGTGTGCTGGATACAATTCAATGTTTCCATTCTTAACCAGGCAGAGCTAGCAGTTTCTGATTTTTCTGGAAATGGTGCTGGGATACTATCTGCTGCTAGCACAGTTGCCAGTACTTTTCTCTTAGTTTTTGTTGCAGAATGGGGCGACAAGTCATTTTTCTCCACAATTGGTGAGTTCTAACGTTAGAATAATTGGTTCACAAAACAGACTGTATATATGGAGGACCATTTATAATTAGATTACGTCATTTTTCTCATTATTAATATCAAATTTTTATGATTTTACCATTCTTTGGTTTGAAAGTATAGGAGACAAAAATCTTGCTCTGAAATCCCTATTAAGCAAGCTAATGTATAAATAAATAAATATTGATATTGACAAATCTTAAAGTTAACTTTTTTGCTTGGTTGTCAATTAATTTGGATTGGTGCAATTTCAGTTTATATCATTTTCTTGTTGAGTTTTCATTTGTTTCAAATAACAAGACATCTAATCTTGCTTCTTGTCATGCACTGCACTCACCTTCAGAGATCCTGAATTGTTTTTTCCCTACTATTCAGCCCTTGCAGCAGCTTCTTCTCCCCTTGGAGTCATAGCTGGAGCACTGGCCGGTCATGGCGTTGCGACTTTGGTAACTCTTATTCAGTAATAAATTGATACAACTTCTAAATATGGGAATGCGCTTTTTAGAAGTGACAGTAAATACATTGTTTAACATTGACATAATTTCATTTAAGTTTCTGGAACAATATATGAAATTTTGATTTGCCAAAATCTCTGACTGAAGGGCAAAGTAAAAATAAAATATGTTAATAAACAGCCAGTAATTACAGGCCTAGAGCAAAATGAGTTGCTGAAATTACTTGTACCTATTTTCTAAGTGCTTTGTGAAGTTTACACAAAATCTTTTGACAATTTATTCTAAAGAACCTTACTCCATAGTCCATAGTTTAAAAGCAGCTAAATAGGTCTCCTAAGCTACATTTTTGTTTACTCATAAGATATATTTAATAGTAATACTAATACCCACAACAAGCTCAAAATAAAGAAATATGTAAGTTCTGAAAATAAGGATATCTGGAGAAGACATTGACTAGAGTTTAATTCATGTAATTTATATTCCTTGGTTCGTCTCTGACTGCCTTTTTCTTTCGTATCACATATTTGTAAATGATGACTTCGGGCTCTTATATTCTCGATGTATCTTTTATATATGCAGCTAGCTGTGCTTGGGGGCTCTTTATTGGGGAGTTTTTTGTCAGAGAAGGTAATTTCTTGCTCATATAGCCTCCATTCCTGATATGCTGTATTTTGTTGGTTCCAACCTCATGGTTTCCCCGTTGAGGGAGCCAACCAGATTTTATAAATGTGGAACTCTCTATGCTTGTGCTATCATCTCAGGTAGGTAATTAACCAAAAGGGCGTATACGAGGGAAAATAACTGAAATTAAGTTATGATTTTCAAAATGCTTTTCTTGAATTATTGCCACGTATAGAATCTGGGTCATGGAGCTCTTTTATGGATAATTTTCTGCCTCGGAATTCCATTATTCCAGCATAAAATATATACGACTGATGAACAGCAGCATGTTAGATGTTCCTCTAGTGGGACCTTTTTGGGAACGAACATGTTCTTTCACCTGGATAATATATAGCCGACTGAAATCTCCCTTGCTTTGGGTGATTAAGATTTATTTTAAGCGTACGGAAATGCTGATGCTCTTTTAACCACACACTTTATATTCTGTAGATAGCGCACTAAAAATTGAAGCTCGAACCTACATTTGTGTATCTGTTTTTGTAATATTATCTTTATGCAGCTATAAACTAAAAACAGCTTTTATCATTGTTTTTGAAGGTTATTGCCTACATCGGAGGTGTTCTCTTTCTCGTCTTTGCTGCAGTAACCTTATTTGAAATTGTGCAATAGGTGTTAAAAGAAATGCAATATAATGTTAGTGCAAAGGGATCAAGAACGTAATGGCCTCTAGAGTTGTATGATTCTGCACCTCCTTTACTAAATTTATTAATAGCGGCTCCAGAAGGAAAACAAATTAATGTATAATAATACCAGTACCTATTTTTTTTTTTGGAATAGTTGATTACATTTCCTTGCAATCCTCACGATTATTAAACACGAATCTTTTATTTTGTGATTATTTTTTAAGAAATTTTTTTTAATAAGAAGGTTTGTAAAGATTTTTTTAACACCTTATTCAATTCAATTTTTATTTATCATAATTATTTATTAATTAAATTTTAATATTTTAAAATAAATTATTAATAAATAAAAATACTCTTTTTACTATAAAAATTATTTATCTTAAATCTAAAATTTAATTCTTATAATTATAAATATCTATTTATAAAAATTATAAGTATAATTTATATATTCAATATTGTTTGTATATATTTTTATTTCATATAATAAACATTTAGTCATAAAATCCATATGCTAAAAAAACTAGTTATGAAAATTGTTGAAATAAAACTCTAATTTTAGCTATAAATCAACTTAAATCTAAAATTTAATTTATCTATTTAAAAATATTTATATTTAATTATTTTAAATATAACTTATATATATATATTTAAATATAATATTTTTTTATATATAATTTATTATAATTTTTAATTATATTATATATAATAAATATACCTATGCATTGCACATGCTAAAATACTAGTGTTATTTCATTTTAAGTGAAATTTTTAACTACATCAATTATGTGACACATTATTTAATTATTGATAATTATTGTGTGAATTATATCATTATTTAGTCAACATAAGTCATATTCTGCAAGTGTAAATTAATCTTTAATTGTCAGTTTTGAAATATTATATGAATCATGTTTATTTTAAAAAAAATAAATTAGAGTAGGTTTTTTTTATAACTAATTTGTGTTAGGAATTTAATTGTCACGAAATAAATTGAATACAACTAACTATTAATGTATCTAATATATAAAATACAATTAGATTTTATAAATTTTCCATAAACATTTTCATAATGGGACCTCATTCATTTAATTAATTAAGTTAGGATGAATCTATTCTTTTTTTAACCTTAAAATAAAGATTTTTGTCTAATATGAAATTAGTTCACCACACCATGTTGAATCTAATTTTGACAATTTTAGATTTTACAAGAGATTATAACTATTATATTTTTTTCTTTCTATTTTTCTACATGTAATTAGTTTTAGAATCCCGTCATTTCAAAATAAATGAACATTTTTTCGAATAAAAATTTCATATTAAGTTTGAGTTTTTAATTTGCTCCTAATCTTTTCTAATTTGTGTAATTAGGTCATTAGGCAGAAATTATTTTAAAATATTTATAGAAACCCTTCATTTCAAAATAAATGAACATTTAATCAAATAAAATTTTCATATTGAAAAATTTGAGATTTTTAATCAGGCCCTAATCTTTTCTAGTTTGTGTAATTAGGTCACTAGGCATAAATTATTTATTATTTCGAGGGATTATAAAAGTTAAAAAAAATTAATGACTAAATTACAAAATTTTACAGTTCAAGAACTTAATTAAATTTTTTTGTAAAATTAAAAACCAGTATATATATATATATATATATATATATATATATAATTTTTTATACCTTATATTAGAAGGAATTTTTAGCCAAAAATTAGTCTCTCACAAAATCTTAACTATTTTTTTGGATAAATATATTAAATTAGATTTTAAATACATTTTACAATTTTATTCTTTATTATAATTTGTACGCCTTGGAAGAATATTACAATTGGTTATTATGTTTCGTTTCTACTAACTTAGATTAGGCGATAATCTTCAAAGAGATTGGTGATTATTTTGATTTTGTATAAAATTATATCTTATCTTAATCTAAATTTTTTTAAAGAAAAAAAATATCTATACTATAATATAAAGAGAAAATCTACTTTGTTAGCTAATTTTTTTTAATCTCCACTTTTTAGACAATTACATCTTAATTAATAATTTTATACATATTATAATTATCTTGAATTGAACTTTACACACTTTATTCTCACAAAAATCACTCATCAAAATGGGTGATTGTGTATATCTAAATAAATTACTCACTATTTAACCTTTATTATTTTTTAGATTTAAATATATTTTTAATTTTTATAAAAAGTTTTTTTTATCCCTCTAAATTTTATAAATATTATTTTTTATCTTTATAAAATGACTATATATTTTTTTTAATTTTAAGCATGTAAAATATTTTTCTTTGATTTTTATATCACTGTTTTTAATTATAACAATCATCTGAAAGTAGATAAATAATATGAGATGTTAAATACTGGCATAATATTACTAATGATTATGAATAATATTTAAGATAATTACTTAATCTTTTAAAAATAAAATATAATTTATAATGATGAAATGAAAAATAGAAACTAAAAATAAAAGTTATAACTTTAAAAAAATAAAAAAATAAAAAATTATAGGGATGAAAATCAACGTACTATCTCTTTTCCTAATTTTAAATAACAGTAGTAGTTTCCATAAAAATACTTTATGATACAGTTTTAAGCTTAAAATTATGTTTCGAGCTTAAAACAATTAAAAAACATTCGCTTAATTTTTAAAACTAAAAAAAAAAAAAAACTACACGAAATTGTTTTTTAAATTTAAAGTCAATCATTTGCCTGAAATGATCATGGCTTTGTCGTTCAGTCATCAATGTCTAGTGTCGCTCTCCTCCCTTCCGTTTTACCATCAAAAAGTCATAATCCCAATCTTTCGAAAGTCAAAACCCTAGAATCGTCTTCCAAGCTCTGCGGAAACAACATAATTAAATCAATCAAATCGAGGAGTTACTATTAATTACCGCCAGGTATTAAATCTTAATTCCTCTTTAATTTGCCGTTGATCCTGTTCATCTGGGACACTATGCTGTTAAGCTTTTCAAGTCAATCATTTGTGAGCCTTTTCCATCTCAATTTTATTTATTTGATTTGTTGGAATTATGTAAAAGAACTTGGAGCAGTTAACTGAGATGTATTGTTTTCTCTGCCTCAGCTATGCGCATAGTAGGTTATGTAGGTTGAGTTAAGGATTCTGATTTTCAAAGAAGCCAGTATTTAGAAGGGCCAAAATTGAAGATTAATGGATCCCTGGTTTCACTTTCCTCGAAGATAAACTGTATTTCGTGTTAATTCAAATTCTCTGTTTCTATCTTATTTGTTTTGTTTAACACACTGTTCTCCTGTTTCATTTTGGTTGGGTCTTGCATGGAGATCACCCCTCTCCATGACCTGTTCTGTGCATATTTTGTTTGTTTTATTCATCATATGGTATGCTTGAGTTGAGGACTTTTATATTTTGGTTAGTTGTTTTATTCATCGTATGGTATGCTTGTTTTAACAACTCTGATTTAATTTTGGTGGTTCAGATTTCAAAAGCTCCAATAAAAAGGGAAGAATTGAACCAATATATTTTTCCAGGGCATTAGTCAAGTCAGTTCATCTCGGCTTAATAATAGTTAGTTGAAGTAGAAGTGATCTAGACCCTATGGATTTTACTTGGAATGTGGGATCAAATGTTCGAGTTGGTACTCTAGGGAGAAATTTATAAAACTGTCACTGTGGCAATACCCAGTCAACTCCCCTCCTCAAAAAAATATTAGATTACTGTATAACTTTCCCTTGTTGCAGCATCTGAGAGACGGGTTTGGCTTCTAAAGTTAAGACTTAAGAGAGTTGTGAAGTGAGAAAGTGAGTGTCCTTCCACTGTTGAACTGGTTTTGTTAGGAGGAGACTTTCTGGTCATGTTTCGGCTTGTTAAGGGGTGATGTTACATTTCAACTGTTCAGAGAATAATTAATAATTGCGTTATTTTTCAAAAGTTCTTTTTCTATTCAGTATCCACTATAATAATGGTCCTTGTCCCTGATACTCAAAATTAAAATGGGGAACAGAGAATTAATTCACTTGTTTTCATCTTGGCATTCTTTCTTGTTTTAATGAGACTTGGGTATCCTTTTCAATCAATTTCATTGTTGAACTGCTGAGTGATATTAATTTTAAATTATTGCTTCTTATTGGATCAAGCAGATTTCTTTATTATATTTTTGTGTTGTTTTTCATTTTGATACCACCAATGCAAATGTGTCCTTGTTATGAATGGATTTGATATAAACAAAGAAAAGTTGCTCCTTTTTTTCTTCTTTGAATAAATTGATGCTCAAATATGCCAAAATGTGAATCTAATCTCTTTTATTCTGGAAGAAGTTCCAGTGCTGACCAAAATGTGGCATGTCGTATGATTGACCTCCAGGCTAGGTTTTTGGAAGGATTCAAATCTTGCTGAATTAACGTGCACCTACAACAATTGATAATGTCAACATTGGTTTAATCTTCTATTCTATTAGATGGATCGATGTGATACATCAGGTTTTGTCAGTGGAGGATGCATTTTACTCTCGTAAATGCTCCTTCAACTTGGTGCATCCAACCCTAATTTTGTTGATATGTAACTTGTTTATACGTGGAGGTCAGACAACTGTTCCACTGAAATTAACCGATAGGTGTAGCATTATACTATTATTGTTTAATGGACGGGAGGTTCCAGAACTTGACTTTCACAGCTAACCCTTCAGCAAATGCATTCAAGATTTTGGGTAACTCAATGCAAGTTGAAGGAAGGGGAGCTGATTGTTGTACAGATACCATCTTACAACATGATTCCCGTGCTTTTTCAATCTCAAAGGGAACAAAAAGAAAGTGGGATTTAATTGATGGATCTATGGGTCAGAGCATTGGCTCTTCTTTCTCTCATGGGCTTGAACTTTCAACAAGTTCCTCAGACAGCAAGGAGAGTTCAGCTACTGCTTGCACTGCTATGTCTTCAGCCAAAGAGATTGACGAGGAATCATCTTTGGATATTGAACTGGACTTTACACTTCATCTTGGCTGTGAGAAGGTACAAAGCCCGAAAAACCCTGCTAGTTCAAATTTGAAGATATTCGAATTGCAGCCCAAGGTTGATTTGAAGTTGTGCCTTTCCACCCAGCCCTCTGACTCAGATATTACTAGTGTTTGTCTAAGTCCCTCTCAGGCCCCACCACTTCAGTTGAACACGGAGATCCCATTAGTATTCAGTAGGACAACAAATGCTGATGAGGGATCAACTTCATGTTTTTGGAAACCAGGGCTTGTTTCACTTAATACAGGTGCTAGTCTAATGTTGAACCAGGCTGCAAAAAAGTTTGAACATAATATTGGGCTCGATCTCTTGTCAACCAGACCAAGAAGTTCGGTAACCTGTACCTCTGGGCTAACACAACAAAAACAACCACTACGTTGCAACAGTAATTCTAAGACATGTCAAGTTGAGGGATGTGGAAAGGGTGCCAGAGGTGCTTCTGGACATTGCATATCTCATGGTGGTGGTAGGAGGTGTCAGAAACCTGGCTGCAATAAAGGAGCTGTAGGCCGGGCTGTGTACTGCAAATCTCATGGAGGTGGCAGGCAATGTGAATATCATGGTTGCACTAAGAGTGCAGAAGGACGTACAGATTTCTGTATTGCTCATGGTGGTGGTCAGAGATGCAGTCGTGAGGGTTGTCTCCGAGCTGCCAGAGGGAAATTTGGATTGTGTATTCGGCATGGTGGTGGCAAGAGATGTCAAAGAGAAAATTGTACTAAGAGCGTGGAAGGCTTATCAGGTCTGTGCATCTCACATGGGGGAGGGCATCAATGTCAAGCTTCTGGATGCACCGAAGTGGGACAGGAGACCACTATGTTCTGCAAAGCACATGGTGGTGGGAAACACTGTATAGTACCAGGGTGCATCAAAGGTGCTGAGGGGACCATGCCATTTTGCGAAGGCCATGGTGGAGGTAAATGCTGTGCATACCAGGGTGGTGGAATCTGTACTAAAAGTGTGCATGGAGGTACCAACTTCTGTGTGGCACATGGGGCTGGAATGAGGTGTGCTGTACCTGACTGCATTAAGGGTGCCAGAGGACAGACTGATTATTGTGTATGTCATGGGGGAGGCAAGAGATGCAAGTTTGAAGGGTGTGGAAAGAGTGCACAAGGTGGCACTGACTTTTGCAAGGCACATGGGGGAGGGAAGAGATGCTGTTGGGGCCATCCTGGGTCAGAATATAGCACTAAACATGGTGGCCCTTGTAATTCATTTGCAAGAGGGGAGACAGGCCTGTGCGCACTCCATAGTGGGTTAGTGCTGGATAAGAGAGTTCACGGAGGTGTATCCTTGGAACCAGTTATTCAGGATACTCGTGTTAATAAACTGGATGAATTGAAGCAGATGGTCATTAACCAAGATATGGATGTGGATACGATGAAAATGCATAGCCCAAGGAAAGCTGGTTTGATAGCATGTTCTGATGTTAAACTCAATGAAGTTGCAAGTACTCGTCTCCCAGTTGGGGAAGATGGTCACACACCAATGTCAGTTGCGGTTCCTGAAGGCAGGGTGCATGGTGGAATTCTGATGGCAAAGCTGATGGAGAGTTCTGATCTTGGTACTAACAGTGGGAGAGGTCTATTAAGTGATCCATCAGAGACAATTAAAGCTTGCATCGTGTCCAAGAGCAAAATTTGAGGCTAGTTATTGCTTTTGTTGCCATGCTCTCCCTTGTTGGAAAATTTTCTCTGCATGTTTTACTTCGAAGTTCGATTGTTGATTATTAGAGTCGTTATCTGATATCTGTCAATCGTTAAAACGGGGAGAAAGGGAGAGCATACGTACGTTGTTTAACATTCTTATGTAATGGTGTTTTCTTTGTTTCCTTCCTCATTTCCCCTTCTGTACATTCTATCTATCATCTGATAAAACGTCTAGCAGTTTGTGACAGCAGGTTGCTACTTGTTAAGACTGTCAGTGTAAACTTGTATTCTGTTTGTAATAAAGCCTCTCAACCGAGTGAGATCGAATACGTTGTTATAGTGCTCTTTTTAGATCATGGTTACTCTTTGGTAACTGCGTGACAGGCTACCTACGTTGTGCTTTTTTGCTTACTCACGTTCGACAATTTATACTGTTATCATATATGTAGTAAGAATGTGTTGTTTGATGTTTATTTTCTGTATTTTCCTGTCATTTGTTGTGGATAGTTTCATTCTGAAATCTGTGTTTCAAGCGCATCATGGAAGTTGCAATGTTGGAAAATAATTGAAATTAATAATGCGACTGATTGGGTCAGTAATTCAATGTATAATGTTATTATATAAGTAAAATTAACTGACGAGCATAAATGGCATTGGTAATTATTAATTAAAAATTACTTCGGAAAATATCATTGATATTAAGTATCATCAATTTTTTACTATGAAATATGAAGTGTTTTTATTAATTGAAATGCATAATATAATAAGTTTAGTTAATTTTAAAAATTTTAAGGTATTAATCTACAAAGAGTCGTATATTGGTAGAGTAAAATTATAATTTTAAGAGTTATGTTAAAATCGTAAAATGAAATTTCTTAAAATATTATTGAAGTTAAATTATTATTGTTGAAATACTATATATATATATATATATATATA